CATGATCAGCAATAAATACACAGTTTCCCGGCTCAACCTAAACCAGGGACGTGTAAGCTGGAGTACCTGAACACCTAGTGGGGAATATGTTCTACGCCTTTGGCCTTTCTGGAGAACAGAAGTGCAATTTAAAGAATGACATTCAATTTTCTATAAATTTTGTCTTTTAAGGAATTTTTGTTAGATTACTCGTTTTGGAGATAATTAGGTCTGAATATTTGCAGCTATTCTATTGAAGTTAAAATCTGGGGAATATCTGTAAATGTAGTAAAATATGTTTTGTTGAAATTGACTGTGAAAATCTTTTCCGAAAAAAAAAAATTAAAAATCTATTATAATTTTGTTTTTTAAAAAAGCTATATCTTTGTCTGAATAAATAATTGCTGTATTGTCTGCGAAACCAATAATTTCTCCGTCGTTTTTTAACTCAAAAAGCTGCCAAACTTTCACTTAGTGCACTGTTAACGTTCACACATCATTTCCGGTCTAGTAAAGAACTTTTTATGAGTTGCTAAGTGTCTCCACAAAATCCTAAAATTTTCAAGGTGTTTGATAACTTTTGATGCGTAATGCTATCCAATGCTTTGACCAAGTCTGTTGGTTTATTACTACCAACGTATTTGTAAATTTCGGTTGTTAAGTGAAGAAGTACATCCTGAGTTGACTTTACTTCCTGGAGTCCGTATTGCTGTTGAGATATCAGGTTGTACTTTGCAATAACATTAAAATCGTTTTTTAATAATGTTTTCAAACATTTTTGAAAAGTTTTTCAATATCTACTGAAATGTGGCCATAATTACAAGATTTCTGTTTATCTACAGATTCAAATGCAGGTCTTATTATTGCCTTTTTATTACAACTACTCGTTAGAAAAACCTTGAGCCCATGGCCACAGGTCGAAAGCCCTAAAAGGTCCCTGCAGCGTCTTTCCAGTAAGTGAATTCATTAATTCTTTGCAAATGACCAAAATAAGAAGTCTGGCGATTCCTAAACGTGTTTTCAACTTTGTATTGTCTATCTAGGCTCGAGCCGGGTTTTATCGAATTTTTGTTACTAAGAGGCAAATTTTAAAAACTGTTAAAATATACTTTGTGTGGCCTTAAGAAACAATTAAGGTACGGAGGATCTCGACATCCTATACACTTTTTCTGGCATTAGTGTGGTAGGTTTAAGTGTTTAACTGTACCGTAAATGTCCGAAAAAATATGCACTACATATAAGCGTTTCCAGGCGTAGCAGCTGTATTTTTGTTATAGAATTTCCTTCCATGAATAGCGGCGCAGCAAGTGCATTTGAGGTTTTGCGAGACTGTGTAGTTTTAACTGATTTTCATTATACAGGGTGGCCAAACACGTGACGTCATAAAAAAAATTAGATTCCCCACATCGAGAGGAACCCAAATCACCCCCATATATATGGTCCGATTTTGTTTAGTTTAGGAGCTATGATTTTTTTTTCGGATTTTTCGAGAATTTTTGAGTTCTGTGTTTATTTTTACCATAACTTCGTTAATAATTGTGATAAATGCCTGCTTTTTTCACGATTATGTAGCTAAGACCTAAGGCTTAACTATCATATAATCATTCAAGTCATGTAACTAATACTACTTTTTAATTTTTTTCAAAATCTTCGAACATAACAAAAAAGTAAAAAAGTGCAACAACTTTGAACGTTTATAAAAAATTGAAAAAACATGTTCTTACTATTCGTAAGTATCTTAAAAACTTCCTTACGGTATCAGCTATTTACCGTAAAAATTTCATCAACCTAGCTTTACTACATGCTACCGTAATTGTGGCTCAAATAGAACCGAACCCAAAATTGGATAACCCTCTGCTCAATAGAAATTGTTAGTTTCGGAAAAAAAATTTGCAAAAACCACAAAAACACGTTTGATTTTTACTGAACAGCAGATTATTATTCATTTATGTTATTTACAAGAGGTTTTCAAAATGTCGGCCTCTAACAGAAATGCACAGTGTACACCTACGTATGAAATTTTGTTTTAAATCTCTAAATGCTTGTGTGTTGTTTTTCAACACATGTGTCGCTTCTTGAATTTTGTTCCTCAATGAATTTTCATTTGCACATTCTTGGGCGAATGTTATGTCTTTAAAATATCCCCAAACAAAAAAATCAATGGGGTTGAGGTCAGGGGAGCGTGAAGGCCATCGTATCGGTCCGTTTCGTCCGATCCATCTGTCTGGGAACCTTTCGTTTAAGTAGTTTCGCACGATCGTTGCGTTGTGGCATGGTGCACCATCATTCTGGAACACCATGTTCCGTCTGGCTTCCAGGCTTGAATCTTCCAGCAATAATGGTAGGCTATTTTCAAGGAAGCTTTTGTAGGCTACCGAATCCAACCTTGACGGCAGTTCAAATGGACCGATAAATTCCATATTGAATATTCCTGACCACATGTTCACACTAAAACGGTGTTGAAATGTCGACGGCCTTGACTGGTGGGGGTTTTCAACAGCCCAAGTATGTAAATTATGGATATTGAATATCCCTGTTCTTTCAAAACGTGACTTGTCAGTCCATAAAATTTTATCAAAAAAATCGGGATCCTCTCGTTGTCTTCGCAGCATTGTTCGTGGTATTCTAAGGTTTTGTGCCATAGATCTCGTACTCGTTGAGGGATTCCGGCTAACACCGTTTTAGTGTGAACATGTGGTCAGGAATATTCAATATGGAATTTATCGGTCCATTTGAACTGCCGTCAAGGTTGGATTCGGTAGCCTACAAAAGCTTCCTTGAAAATAGCCTACCATTATTGCTGGAAGATTCAAGCCTGGAAGCCAGACGGAACATGGTGTTCCAGAATGATGGTGCACCATGCCACAACGCAACGATCGTGCGAAACTACTTAAACGAAAGGTTCCCAGACAGATGGATCGGACGAAACGGACCGATACGATGGCCTCCACGCTCCCCTGACCTCAACCCCATTGATTTTTTTGTTTGGGGATATTTTAAAGACATAACATTCGCCCAAGAATGTGCAAATGAAAATTCATCGAGGAACAAAATTCAAGAAGCGACACATGTGTTGAAAAACAACACACAAGCATTTAGAGATTTAAAACAAAATTTCATACGTAGGTGTACACTGTGCATTTCTGTTAGAGGCAGACATTTTGAAAACCTCTTGTAAATAACATAAATGAATAATAATCTGCTGTTCAGTAAAAATCAAACGTGTTTTTGTGGTTTTTGCAAATTTTTTTTCCGAAACTAACAATTTCTATTGAGCAGAGGGTTATCCAATTTTGGGTTCGGTTCTATTTGAGCCACAATTACGGTAGCATGTAGTAAAGCTAGGTTGATGAAATTTTTACGGTAAATAGCTGATACCGTAAGGAAGTTTTTAAGATACTTACGAATAGTAAGAACATGTTTTTTCAATTTTTTATAAACGTTCAAAGTTGTTGCACTTTTTTACTTTTTTGTTATGTTCGAAGATTTTGAAAAAAATTAAAAAGTAGTATTAGTTACATGACTTGAATGATTATATGATAGTTAAGCCTTAGGTCTTAGCTACATAATCGTGAAAAAAGCAGGCATTTATCACAATTATTAACGAAGTTATGGTAAAAATAAACACAGAACTCAAAAATTCTCGAAAAATCCGAAAAAAAATCATAACTCCTAAACTAAACAAAATCGGACCATATATATGGGGGTGATTTGGGTTCCTCTCGATGTGGAGAATCTAATTTTTTTTTATGACGTCACGTGTTTGGCCACCCTGTATATACAAAAAAACAATCTCTTCAAATGAAAATTATTAGGTTTTACCAAATAATTTTTTTACACATACCTACATAGTAAAATGCAAATTTCAAAGTTACGTATAACTTTTTTGTATGGATCTTTATTTATGTAACACATGTTAAACAAACACATTTTAAGCTTAATATGTTATTTCTGCCGCTTTTTTGATTAAAAAAAGTGTTTCTTTTAAGATGGTCATCCGCCTATAATAGACTATTTGTATTATTATTCAAGATTGGCCTATCATTATCATTAATTATCCATAGATAGAAACTAGAGAGAAGTGAAATTACTTACTGGGCGTCAATTTCCTTTTGGTGTTCAATCAAAAAGTCCAGCGCTGTGTCAAAATTACTTGGATTCCCGTTCACTACGGATACAAATACTGTTTGTCTGTCTTGTCGCCTGATCTCGGAATCAGTGACCGTCTTTAGCAAATACCTGAAAAAAGTTGTTGCACTTTTTTACTTTTTTGTTATGTTCGAAGATTTTGAAAAAAATTAAAAAGTAGTATTAGTTACATGACTTGAATGATTATATGATAGTTAAGCCTTAGGTCTTAGCTACATAATCGTGAAAAAAGCAGGCATTTATCACAATTATTAACGAAGTTATGGTAAAAATAAACACAGAACTCAAAAATTCTCGAAAAATCCGAAAAAAAATCATAACTCCTAAACTAAACAAAATCGGACCATATATATGGGGGTGATTTGGGTTCCTCTCGATGTGGGGAATCTAATTTTTTTTTATGACGTCACGTGTTTGGCCACCCTGTATACATCAATAGTATACATTTATTTCATTGAAATCATTTGTATTTACCACATAATAAGGACATTAGTGTGTTTCATTTACATTTTACCTTTAAAATGGCGCCTACTAGGTAACTCAAAACCCTGGCTGTTTTAATCGAAACATGAACATAACTGTTAAAAAGTCAAAATTTACGAATTTCTTAATCATCCGTACCCTAATCATTATTGAGTACACTACAAAGTATGTTCCAATAACTTTTTTAATTTTTCTCGCAATAATAAGAATTCGAGAAAACCCTCTAAATATTTTTTGAGATGATAGTAACAAATTCCTTTCCAAACTTAATAATCACTTTTATCACCTTACGCTTGATTAAGTAGGAAAAAATATACAATCTAGAAGTACAAGTCAGGAATAATTTTGAAATTGTTTAGATAACATTTTCTGGAAAACGTTTTTCTTACCTTATCCGTACACGTACACACTGTTCAAATATCATCTGACACAGCCTTACTTTTACTTATATTCTACTTACCATCTTCAAAAAATTATTCCGCTTCTCTGGCATTGGCGTAGTCATAAAATGTGCAAAACATCAGAAACCATAGGGTTGCAGATATCATAGTTATTTAGGGGTATTTTTTGAAAATTTTACTTTTTTTTAAAACTTCACCACCTTGAGCGTATTTTCCTAGCGGCACCAATTCAGCTGATAGATTCATAAGTTATTAAGACCACCCTCTGTTCAAAACAATGGACGATCTGACAAAACATTCTTGATTTGAATTTACTCAAAAACATATACATATATGTGTAACATAGGCTTCAAAAAGACAGTAAGCTGTAATGAAGTTTCCTTATGCTTACAGTGATCGCTCTTGATACTCTCCCTCTACAGAATGTTAAAATCAGACGTAAGAAGTTATTTTAATAAAAAATTAGACTTGTGGGTGTTTCGCCACCTAAAGAAAAAATAATAATGGACGAAATAAAACCTGGTTGGAAAAAGTAGATATTTGTAGAAATTGCACGGGATGAACTGAATATGGGCCAGTTTGAAGAAAATGAAAGCTGAAAATCTTGGCTCGATAATAAAACCCAAACCCCCAAAATAAGAAATTTGACGGACTTAAATGCCACGGTCTAGACAACTTGTGGTTTTTAATGCTTTTTTATACTTTTAAGTTAAACTTTCGTTACGTTTACAAACTTTAATAAAATTAGCAGAAGGTTAGATATTACGATCACGAAGAATGGTTGTTGCCCTGTATCTTCGAAATGAAGCTCTATACCAGATCTATGCTTATGTAGGGAGATCCAAAAGACCCAAATGGCAAAGTTTTTCAGGATATTCAAGGGGCATAATAAAAGAAAAATGATGTATGTGTAAATGGTGTATTTTTCCTAGGCTTTTTAGTGGTTACCTTGAATTTGAGGTCGAGCCTGACCAAATCAAATTCACGACGATTTTGTTTGCTTTGATAATGTCCTTAGTTTTATATTATCCTTGTCTTGACTCGATGAATCGGTGTGGAATGCAAAAAATGCAAAACAACTGCTGTATAGGTTTGTATATAGTCTTCGAAAATATAGTTGTGTGTTCTCTAAGATCAAGGAGTTGAAATGGCAATTTGAATGTAATCTTAAAGTATTTGTGGATTTGTACATAGTAAATTGATAACTAGAGGAACCATTAATCTTAGAGATCTGAGGCATAATAATAACCTTACACTGCCTTTGCACTATACCGTATTATCTCCAAAATGTTTTACCTTCAATGCAGTGAATTTGCACAACCCAACCGGCCCTCCCTGGAGAAGCAAAATTGTGAGATTCAGGAAGCTGGTTAAAAATCAGCTGTTAGATCTGTTGTGATTAGTTATGATATTGCCTTTACGTTTTTTTTTGTACTTTCATCCATTCATTATTAGTTCTCATCTAGTTCCTTTTTGGTAAGCCAACATAGCGTGGATTTATCAGTTGAATCTGTTTTTTTTATTAGTTCACGCACTTGAATATCAAATCGATGTACTTATTTTTATATCCTATCCATAGTCCATTTACGCTCCGGCACAACAAAGATGCAGCGCGGCAAAGCGGCAGCCGCCTAAGCGTTGCAATAGCTATTGGTAATTCGGCCATAAGACTAGGAACAAGTGCAGAATTCGACAGGATAGAACTGAGTACTCGGGATATCGCCGGCACGCCGACGCCGGCAGTTGCTCTTCATATGATTAGCCTGTGTTTATACGTTAGCGTGTCATCTAAGGACAAAGCAAATGAAACTGAGAATATTTCTCTTAATGCTTCCTTCAGCCATGTTTACTCTTCAGTTGTATCTCCTCCCCGAAAACGTGACAAGAAGGGACATTTGAATATTCAGGCAAAAGAAATTGTCCTTAACGTTTATGAGAGCGAAATTTTAGAGCATCCTTAAAGTATTAAAAGACGTGTGGCAAATAAAACAGGCTTATGTCGTAAGAAAATGTTCAACATTGCTATAGAATATAAAAAAAAACAAAAAAATGTGTCCATCACACAAGAGGCTGCATTACACGAAGCTGTTGGATACAGTTGATAACTTTGATTGCTTGATGGCATTCGCCATCGCATGCTATGCGCATTTGAGTCAAACAAAACAACAGACTACCATGAATAAATGGACGGGTGTTCATTTGAACGATGGTTTGAAGAAACGATCCCAAAGCTTGACGACAATGCCATCATTGTACTTGATAATGACACTAGAAAACTAGAAAAAATTCCCACAATGTCCACAAGAAAGGCAGAAATTCAACAATGACTTCTATCAAACGACATTAGTTTCAATGAAAATATGGTCAAAGCAGAACTTATCCATCTACTCAGGCAGCACAAATATAAATATAATCTTAATAGTATTGACGAAATGGCTAAAAACCAAAATAAGACCGTTTTAAGGCTGCCCCCTTATCACTGCGAATTAAGTCCCATTGAAATGATTTTGGTAAATACACCTATAAAAAACTGTGTGGTTTCAAACAATAGAACATTCAAATTTTCTGACGTGAAAAATTTGTTTTATGAAGCTGTCAACAGAGTGACGGCAAACCATTGGAAAGATCGCATTCCTCACATTCAAGGGACAATCGAAGATGCGGGATCTGGACAACATGATCGATATTCAAATTGAATCTGTAATAATTAATATTAACCATTCGGATGATGATTCAAGTACTTCCAGCGAATAGAGAATTGTGTGAAGTATGTGCACTTGTTTCTATAAAAATAATCATTTATTTTGTTAGACCATTGAGGAAAATACGGACCTGTACAATCTTGCTTTTGGGCATGCTGTGACCATGGTACGCCCCAGACGATTCCAACATGGTTCCAACGAACCTAAACAATATTCGTAGTTTTTGTCGCATTCCATTCACTGTTTTTGCGCGCCGGATGATGTAGGTGTTACAAAGGAGATGTACGGATATTAAGACTAACTTGGCATTTCTTGGTATAATTTTTAGAAACAAATTAACTAAATAGATCATGGCCATACTTGTTGGTTTTGGGACATGCCGTTACTTCTATAAATGGGACTTGTTCAAGGGCGTATCCCCCTTTTCCCTAACTCGTTAAAAATTTAATGCAGCGAACATTTTTTACAAAAATTATATTACTCAATCAGCTGAATCAATATTCGATGAGCAATTATTAAGTTAGGTGTCTTTCAAGTTCGAACCTTCGCCTTTGGGATTTCTGCATAACATTATGAATCAATAATTACTGACATCCAGGCTACACGGTCAATAAATATCACATCTCATGATAAGTATATTGACGGATCACAGTAAATACTGATCTTCTGATTTACCTAAATGACGGGGAGTACCTTTGGGCAAGTGGGGTAGCAACATAAAAAATGGAACGTGGACAGTGGAGTATTTCCGAATTTAGACTATGTCGATTTTATCATTTACTGACTTTAGACCGGAACAAGCCTTTTCAAACGTCCACATTGTCTACATATTTCAAACAAATTACACAGTATCAATCACACTAACTTTTTCTCTTCTACACGGTGGCATAATTAGTATTTTGATCCGCCGTTTCAGCTCTCAGTTTTTTGAAATTATACCGTTTTTGATGTCTTCATTATTACCCTTAAATCATATAAATGAGTTACGTGACGTTGTTCCTCGTTCCAGTTTGAACCAACTATATGAAGCTATAGGCACTTGAAGTTTTATATCAAAGCGTACCACGTTATCATCTTTGATTCTATGAAATAAATGACTATATGATAATTTCAAGGCTTGCTCAATAAATTTTTTTATTGTAATTTATGAAATGCTATATTTGAAATCAGAGGTGGCATACATAAGAAAAATCAAAGTTGAGACGGGGAATAAAAGACGAAAAGTCATACTAATGTTCTATATGCCTCCTTGCAGATGCAGAGATGAAAAAGTGGCAATGTCAATGTGCAGTTTATTTTGACATCCTATCTCAAATAAATTCAGAAAAATTAGAAACGATTTTGGGAAAATTCGTTTCTCTCTCCGTGTATGTCTGGGATACTGGATGCTTATCTTTGGTGCACAGTCGATTGCAAGGATTCCTTTCACTATCTGGGAAGTGACCCACGTGCATAAGACCGTAGGGCGGCTCCTCTTGTCGCTCAACAGCAACTGGTTTTGGGCAATCACAGCATTTTACATAGCCTTTCACACTATTCCAGTAACACACTGTTTATGATTATGAAAATGGAAAAGCAAGATAAGTTTAAGATGCCACATTAACCAAAAACTAGTGCCACGACTTAACTTGTGTTTGAATCTTTATGGTGACTATGTTAAAAAATGAAAGAATGTTCATATTTTAGTTTGCGTTACAGTTCATATTCTTATTTAATTCTTACTTAACAAATACCCTCGTATAAACCGTTACTTCAATAAATATGCTACTTTTCTTTTGAGTTAATAACTGTGGCATGCTGGCAGGTTATAGATTTTCGATTGTACAAATGAACCCAGAATTGTAGAACGACTTGAACCCAGGTAGTCAGGGTGGGAAATGTGGTGTCTCAGAAAAGGGAACTCTCCATCGGAGTACCTACCACAGGGCTCAGTATTGGCTCCTATTTTACATTAATGACTTGCCTTTGGCAAGCATAGATGCTGCTTTCAGCCTTTTGCAGACGACACCAATATCTCCCTTACTGCAGGTTCTTTGGATGGATCCATATTGGGAATGTAAACCGTACAGTCGGATGTTAAGATTTGGTGCGAAGCGACTGGATTTCTACTGAATCAAAGCAAAACCCAACAGTTGTTGTGTAAATATGAATACATCATCTGCAAAATTCCGGAGGAGTACCTACGTCCACCCGTATCTTAATGTCCACATAAACCATGTGGCGAAAAAACTTGGGTCTGCATTGTATGCGTTAAGACGCCTAGAGGAATGCGTTGAGTACATCGGTGATGAAAACCGCTTATTATGCATTATTTCATTCCATCATGTCATACGCTT